TTTTTATTTTTCACTTTATACATATAGTCCCACTAGCTATTAACATGCAGCCACACTTCCTAACTATCCACAGACAAGCGTTATTCATGGAAAACACACTCCACCAGGGTTTTTCAGAACCTTGAACACACATCACCTTTGCCTCGTCCTTTGTATGTGATGCTTGAAACGTAGTTCATCTAAGAAGAGTTTTTCAGAACCCACTCCACCAGGGTTGAGATGCCGAATCCTGTGGCTGCGTGCTTCTTCTCATTCCAGACAGGGCCAGCAATGTCAATGTGCATCCATTGAACTTTCTCATTAACAAACTGAAAAAACACACTTCAACGTTAGAATTATCATATAATTAAGCTTCTATCAGACGACCACGGGGAATTCATTATGGAAGCAGGCAAACCACAGGCAGAGAGTAGAGGTTCCCGAACCTGTTTCAAGAACAAAGCCGCGGTAATAGCACCACCTGGGCGACCACCAGTGTTCACCATATCAGCCACGCCTGATTTCATTGATTCCCAATAACTTTCCTCTAATGGCATTCTCCACAGTTTCTCACCACTGATCTCTGAAGCTTCAAATACCTCCTTTGCCAAGTCCTCACTAGGAGTAAAGACACCTAAAATGGAAAAACTTCTCATCAATTGACAATGAATGTTGCAGGATTTATTCCTTAAGAACAAAAACAATGATACCTAATTAGAGGCAAAAGCACATGACCTCTTTGTGGAATTTTGTCAAACACTTTGTATTCTAGTTTCTAGAAAGTGTCAACTTGTATATGGGCGCACAGGGTCTCCACAACAAGCAAGAGTATCAACACAATTCTTAAAAATGCTTTTACTGATATATTGCATGTATACCTGCAACTGACTGTCCAAGAGCAATGATGCATGCCCCAGTTAATGTTGCCAAGTCAATTATCTGCAAAATAAGTAACAAGGTCTTACAAAATATCCTGAGTAATTAATTATGTGTGAGAGATTCAGATTCAAACATACCTTATCCACACCTTGGTTACATGCATACACCAAAGCATCTGCAAGTGTAAGTCTCCCTTCAGCATCAGTGTTGTTGACCTCGATTGTCTTTCCATTTGAAGCAGTAACAATATCTCCAGGTCTCATACCGGTTCCACTTATCATGTTCTCACAAGCTGCAACAATAAAATGAACCTGCATATGTAGAACACTTATCATATGTCATTCTACAATACCTTTCTACACGCATATATGACTTCTTAAACAATGGAAAATTAAATGAAAAAATAAAAATAAAGAACTATAGCTAGAAGTGATAACATAGTAGCTCTTCAAGACTTACCTCAACTCCAGGAGGCTTAATTTGACCAATAGCTTTCGCTGCCCCTAAAACTGCTGCTGAACCACCCATATCAAATTTCATGATCTCAATTGAGCAGCCGGGTCCAGTCTTAATATTGTAGCCACCGCTAAAACATATTAAAACAAGTTTAGAAACCAACAAAGATGATTCCAGCTAGACAGTAGACACAAGGAAAAATATCACAGTTACATCTCAATAAACATAGGATTAGAAATGTTTTTGTATTATTGGCGGATTAGAAAGAAAACTCTATTCAATTGTTCACACAAATGAATCCTCATGGAAACAGATGGAAAATTAAAAGGCAATGAACTAGGCTGGCCATTCATATGTAAAGGCATTCTTTAAGACACAGACTAATAACAAACTTTCCCTACATATATAGAATTGCACCTTAAACCATTCAAAAATCAAGGGCCTCTCATCCCTACTCCAGCCTGTTTTCCATGTGATAGCTGAACAACTAAATAAGATCAAGCACTGATATATACATAAGTTACCTATCAAAGGTCAATCCTTTTCCAACTAAAGCTAGCTTGGCTTTAACAGCTCCACCCGGGGGTTTGTAACACAAATGGATAAAATGAGGGGGATTGGCAGAAGCTGCAGCAACTCCTAGATAAGATCCCATCTTCAATTCTTTACATTGCTCTGCAGTCAAAATGTTTGCAGTAATAACATCGCTGCACAGAGAAGCAATGTTTGAAGCCTCTGCTGCTAGAACCGCTGCAATATAAAAGCAACACATTATAGTGAAACCAAAAAAAAAGAAAAAGAAAAAAAATCATCCAATCTATTTTAACAAAAGTATCAAGTGATAACTCAAATAAAGCAAGATTTAACAAACCAGGAGTAAGAACATTGGCTGGAGAATTCACGAGTTCTTTTCCAAAAATTATAGCAGAAGAAACCTCTTCAGCGTATTTGAGCTTCTTCTCCAACTCAGGTCCACTTCCAAAATCAAGAATATCAATAGATTTTAGCACTGGCTTCTTTGGCTCAGATTTATACCTAATATCTTCATATACCCCTAGAACCGTCCCTATAATCAACAGAAATTGTTCCAAAATGTCAGATATAAAAGTTACTTACATATATCAATTATAATGATACCAAATTCAAAGAAAATTACCGGATGCTATTGCTGAAGCAGTATTCGGTTTGGATTCAGCCGAGATACCCTCAGAGGAGGCAAGTAAAATGGCAACAGTTTGGGCTTGAGCAGTTTTTGCTGCAGCACCAACTCCCTCACCAAAATCACGAAAGGCTGTCATTGAGGACGCAGACTTTCCAAGCCCAATCAAGGCAACCCTTTTCGAACCAAGACCTGGAAGCCTCAAAACAATAGACTGACCAGTTTTTCCAGTGAAATCCTCCTCAGTAGATGCCTCAGCTAAAAGACCCCCCAAATGGGTGTCAAGTTTCTTCAAGATTGAGTTCTCAAACTTTGAGTTGTCATCCTTAGTCATGTCTTTCTCAGTGACACCCACAGCAAGTAAGTCTCCTTTCCATTCCGTGACATCAATCTCTTTTGCAGCAAAAGAAACCTTCAAAAGCATATTTTCACAAACCCAACATCCATTTTAGTATTAGAAAAAGCATAAAATCAAAAAAAAAAAAAAAACTCGATTTGTACATTGAACTGAAATCAAACATATATACTGTAAAAAGAGAAAGCTGCAGTTACCTTCAGGTGTTCAACGGCGGCGGGGTGAGTGAGGCCAAGAGCAGCCTGAGCAAGAGTAGCCATGTGTCGAGGTCTTCGGGAAGTCCGAGATATGGGTGAAAGAGAGAAGGAAGAAAATCTGAGAGTAGGAGGAGACCTCAATTTGGTTAAATACAAGGAGGAAGAGGACGAGGAAGCAAATAGAGAAGTTGAGATAGAAACAGCAATGGTGGCGAACATTGTTGAGTGGGTGGTGGGGGAGTGTACTAGGTACTTACAATCAACTCATTCCATTGGTGCATTGAAATCACGCAAACTTATTTCTGTAGTTCTGCCTCTTTTCACTTTTTCTTGTCTTTTTTCCATACAAGATATCTAAGCTGGTCTTTCACCGCCACGTCATTGCACAAAACAAAATTAAGTAAATTTTAATTTTAAACTACCAGGCATTGGGAAACAAATTTTAAAATGTGTTAAAATTAATTGCAAGAGACTCAACTAATTAAAAAAAATACGTGTAAAACTTAAGGAGTATTTTTTTTTTTTGAACAGGGGTAAATTGTAGGGGAAGGTTTGAGATTTAAACTCAGGTCATTATGTTCACCGCATCCATTTAAAAAATAACCACCAAGGGTTAGATAAGGAGTCTTTTTTCTTTTTTTGAACAAATTTTAAGGGGTTGGATTCAAATCGTTACCAAAAGAAGGGAAGATGTATTTTATGGGTGGTCTGAGGTCACTGGATCGAAAGCCCAAGTGCGACAAGGAGTATCTTTTTAAGATTATTATATAAAGAATTATTAATTTTAACATATATAAAATTTAATGAATATAACGTTCAAACAAAAAAATGAAAATATGCGTATAGGTTTTCTTTTTGAGTGCAACGAAAACTTTCTATTAAAGCACCGCCATACAACACTTACAGCAAAGCCTTATCCAACGAATAAGAGGAAATAACAAACAGAGAAAATACATCTAAAGAGAAAAGTTAGAGTAAACCCATTTCAACATAGGATGAAGGGAGGTGAACAGTACACTTGAACAATCGTAAGGAACAAGTTTATACAGATTTCGGGGGTTAAACGATCTAGCAAACGGGACACCCTTCAATCTACTCATGTAGGAGTTGTGTTGTGTCAAGTCTCCAGGACGCCGAGGTGGGAAATCTAGACAAGTAGTGACCATCCCCCTTAAGCATCATGAGAAGTGCAATGGCCACCAGAGTTGGGGAAACCAGCGATCACCTCTAAAGATTTGCGTGATGAATAAGTGGGCCGTCAAATCTGAAAGCAAACAAGTAAAACAGAAAACCAAGAAAACAAAATAGAAAAACAAAAACCAAAAAAAGGCCACCAGAAGGGACCCAACAACCGACAGACCACAAAGGGTGATCGGTGCAGGGAGCACGAAGTCGGCTCCATCATGCTTGGGAAGTCGGAGATCCCAACAGCTCAAACATCAAAAACTCGGAAGCCTAAGGGCTTCTGATCTCAAAACAACGAAACGCAAATGAAGGTAGTCAAAAGCAGAAGAAGAAGGTAGGGAGAGAGGAAAGATGTGAAAGCATGTGCATACATAAAGGTTTTCTAAACTAAAACTAAAGCTAGGTTAAAAAAGAATTTTTTAACAAATTTAGTTATGATATTTAAAAATATTATAATTTAATTATTTAAAAAATCCTTCCTTACCCTCAATTTCCCCAAACCAAACTTACAATTAAAAATTTAGTAGATAAACATTTTTGGAGAAA